GTAAATGCCGCCTTTTTTAGTTTTTCTTTCAGATTACTTACAGGTCTCTATTATGGTGGGACATCGTTGGACATCGCGGGACATCGTGGGACTTTTATTTCCAGGATAAATTTATTTTTAAGGCCGCGATACCAAGCAATTATTAACTTAGCTTCCCGTTCACTCGTTCTCTCGTTTCTTGCTTCGATCCGAAGATTTGCTCCACGGTTCAGCATCGCGTCGCGTCACGTATCCCATAATTTAGCTTCACACCTTTTTAAACAAAATAATTGCGTGGTAAAATTAGATATAAGCATCGACGACTCCCTTGTATGCGTCTGCGTATGTGCCAAGTAATTCTTTACCAACTAGCTTCTCGGTCACCCGTTCTCCCGTTTCTCGTTCCGATCACCACTGCTTTAATGTAGAAAGCAAGTGATCGGCCGTTTAGCTGGTCCGGAGGTTCAGTTGCCGTCCTCTGGCGTAACGATCCAAGAGAAAGTGTATTTCGGCCACAGAGGGGATCAGGGACTGTTCCTGTCTGCGGTAGCCCCGACACACGCTCCCTCTTTCTGTCAGCCGTCTCGAGTTGGGCACATCTGACTCCCAACAGGATGCGTGGGAGAAATGGGGAACCTCTGTGTCGGGTGCGTCGATTCGCTTACCCTTCGATTGGACTTGCCAAGAGGCAACGGAGCTGACCCTTTTGACCAGTTACTCAGTTCGCGTCGCGTATCTCGTTCCTTGCGTCGATCACTATTGATCGACATCGCGTCGTATCGCGTCGCGTATCCTACAATATAGCTCCACCCCTTTTTAAACTAAATAATTACTTGGTACAACTAAACTAGAAGATCGAAGGAACATTGCTTCCTTCTATCTCTCTAGTTTAGTAATCTAGCTTGTAAGAATGTAAAAGGGAGATCGATGGAACTTTGATTCCATCTATCTCCCTTCGGGTCTCCACTCACAGCAACCTCCACGTGGTGAGCTCTGGATAATATTATTTAGTGTTTAATTAATAATCGTATCATTCTTAGCTGGGTAATGCAATTATTAATTAAAAACTAAATAATATTAGCAAATTGGCTGCGATCTGCTTTGCATAGGTCATCATAAATATAAGAGCTTCTTCACTAGACTAGTTTTGATTCTCATTGATTCATCAAAGATTCTAGAGTATTGTCAGAGACGATGTATACGAGTAGATCTTTCACCCAATGTATTTTTGCGGCCTATTTTGATGGGGTCTCGAAACCTCATTACCATTTTCGTGTCATTCGCAACGTTACCAATAGATTCAAAAATGAATTTTAATCCCTTCCATAGTCAACTCACATGTACTTACGCATACACTACAGCTGTCTGCCCATCAATGCTAATTCAATGAATAGTTTCTCAACTGACTGTCATCTATGAGAAGAGGCCGCTAAAATCACTTCTGAATTTTCAGGTCGGTATGGCAGTCAGATTGGGCTGCGAAAGTCCATAAGGTGAGAGGTCTACTCGTATACCTCGTCTGTGCTTACACCACAGACGAGATATATGAATAGACGTTTCACGTAATGTAATTTTTCGGCCGGAGTTTCTGGGGTCCCGGGACCCCATTACCATTTTCGTGTCACTCGCTACGTTATCAACAGATTCAGAAATTAACACAAGAGGAAGTGAGACAGAAAATAAAATTACATAAATTTTATTATTTTTTAACGGAATTAAAGCTGTAGGGTCCATCATTGGACATTAATCGATTAATTTCATTGGAGAAATCAATCGATTAAGAGTATTTAAAAATTTCAAGATTATTAAAATTCATAAGGATGTATTTCATTGATACGTACACCGCAAATTCTCTATTTTTTATTTTAAATTGTAATACATCATTTATTAAAAAAATAACTCGGCAGAAACGTATTTGCGACTTGAAATCAGTTTAATCAGACTGTGCATCGGGGCCCCGGAAACTCCTCATTCCTCGCTTTCGCACACTATGCTCAATTGCGTGTACGTGAGCTCGTTGAGTTTCGGAAGAGCCGAGAAGAACAGGCTGATACTCGCTTTCCTTCTCGCTCTTGCATCGCTGACGTCGCTTACATTTCTCGAAAGCAAGCCTGGCATCGCCAACCGTTCGAATCGTCAGTAAACGACAAAAGCCATCGTGACTGACAGACCTTACATTTCTCGAAATCGGACCTGGGCGCTTTTTGAAGATTCATTGATTTTCCATACGAAGCGACCATGCGTTATATACATATACATGTTATACATGCTAGGAACTATAAATTGTATAACTTTCGTTGTATATCTACTTTCTAATAACATGGGAAAATTTTAAAATATAAAAAAATGTAAGAATACTGTAGAATTTTTGCAATGGAGAATTATTGAAAGAAAATGAGGTAATTATTTAGAAAAGGCCGGGTCTCACCGATTTCGATGATTTTTGAATATGTTGTAGAAATCAACATTTTGAGCAACTTTTTCCTATACATATAACCGCCGCTCGGCCTTAGTTTCCGAGATTTTTCTTCAAAAAGATCGCTACTACTACAATGAATTCTGTCTATATGTACATATCTGTGGCTCTGTATTGCATCAGTCCATGATCGTTGCTTTTTTCTCTTATTTGTATTAGTCGGCATGACAACCGACGACAAATAATGTATAATGTGTCGAGCTAAATCTAGTTCTGCATTGTTGTCAAAGGTTCGAATATTCTGAAGTATGGAACTCGCCAAATACATTATGTAGACTATTTAGGTGAATTCTTCTTCCGTCGACAATATCATGCTAATGATCTAATAATTAAATTTGTCGAAATAATGGCTGAAATCTTTCCCACTTCTGATAATATCAATAAAGAAAATTGAAATAGAAAATGAATGCGTGGCCGCCGTTAGGCGGCCGGCTACACAAATCGAGTTTTTAAGCACAGCTGTTATACGCATTCATTGCCGGCCGCCTCGATGTATCTATAGAAACAATAAACAATCGGCGAGTCGTATACATACTGCAGATTTTTTGTCAACAATCGGCGAGTCGTATATATATAACAGGCACGTAAGTGTAGATAGAATTCATTGTAGTAACAGCGATATTTATGATATTATATGGTACAACTTTGGAACCAAGTAAGGCATTGTGTTGAAATTTGGTTTATATGTATTTATGGACATTGAAGAACACATATTTACAATACAAAATAAAAATTTATTTCTCATAATTTTCTATGGTATGGTAAATTCTGAAACAATTCCCAATATACATAGCAGGTTGATTTATACATGTTTCACAATAAAATGTTGTTTGACGTCTTTCTCCTGGTGTTTTCCTGTCGGAACAAATAATGCAGTCCCGGTTTCTTTGGCCTACATTTGGAATATGTAGCTTATTATTCATTCTATTGTCCGACAAAGAACGTTAATTTATTTAGATTATAACGAAGATAGCAATAGGAATGGTTCGACTTTGAATGAAGTTTCGATTTTACGTTTATCGTTTTTTACGTTTACGTTTTATGTTCTTTATGTTAAATAATTTTAGTAAACATTAAATAATATAGTTTATATAGTTACGTTTATTGTCCACGTGTTTGAATCCGACCATACGCCTCTGACCATCCTCGACAATCCTTCCACTTCCAGCGTAAAAACGGCTGATATATTTCTCATTTTAATAGAATATTTCCCATTTTAATAGGAAAGTACAGGAAAACATGTGTTTCTTAAAAAATTGCGGTGAAATCAGATCATTCTCCTTAATCACTAATAAACTTTCATGTCCCCTCAGAGGGGACAACCGAGTGCAAAGGGTTAAAATATGTTCATAAAATATTATCGTTTTAAAACGTTTATTTCCGTAAAAACAAATTTTTGTAATTTTTTCTTCATTATGGTATATTGCTTATACATTGTATATGCCTACACAGGTCGGAAAGTCAAAAATGCCTAGGCAGTCGAGAATCTCGGCTCGAGAATATGCGAGATCGAATTTCAGCTGTGTTGAGAGCAAGAAGGATAGACTGACATTCGCCGCCTTTCTCGAATCTACGAAGCTATACGAAACGCCAGAACTCATATACAAGGTGGTTGGCATTAGTGTGTGTGAGTGGTGGGGCAGTTCCCTTTGGGCACGGGTCTGCCGTCTGATAATACTCCACTGTCTTTTCCAATCCCTCCCATAATCAACTCACATGTATTTACGTACACACTCAGCTGGCTGCCCATCAATCCTAATTCAGTGCCTAGTTTCTCAACTAACCGCCATCCATGAGAAGGGGCCGTTAAAATCAGCTCCGAATTTTCAGGTCGGTATGGCAGTCAGATTCGGCCGCGAAAGTCCATAAGGTGAAAGGTCTATTCATATATCTCGTCTGTGCTTACACCTTGTGGACCAATCTGACTGTGTTACCGACCTGAAAATTCGGAGGTTATTTTATCGATTACTTCTCATGGATACCTACAAAAAAGTATTAAACAACATTACCGTAGAGCGTCAAACAAATTTCTTAAAAATTAAAAACAAATGTTTAAGAAAAATCGATATGTGATAGGTGGAGAAATTTTTCGGCGAAATTAAAAAGTCTCAAATCATTTTGAAAAAATTGTTTTTGGTTGTGGGGATCAATTACAATAATTGTTGGTGAATATACATACCCCCGAAATTCGTTATCGAAAATATAATGAATGGCCAGAAACGTTCCTTCGAAAATGCGTAAGTTTAAAAAATCATAACTTCTGAAGAAATGGAAGGGTTTTAATATTTCAAAAGGCAAACGACGCGTATTTTGGTAAAGAATATTTAGAAATTCTAAGAATGTTCAAAAAGTTGTTTCTTAACCCCGTAAAGTGAGAAAAATCCCTTAAAAATGCTCCAATTTTTTAACGACCATAACTCCTACAATAGTGAACAAAACAGTATTAAACAACATTAATTAATTAAAAATCTCTTTCTTTCATACGTATTTTATTTAATCTCGTGGAAGGTTTCAGGAGACAACTACAATTATGCAGACGGTTCATTATTTAAGAAATACATTCCATACAAATGTGTGCATTCATATAAAATATGACGAGTGGTGCTTGTATTTCGAAATGAAATGACCAAAATAATAAATGCAACGCTAGTTAACAACGTATGGAAGTGTAGTAAATCGAGTATCGGAAATTTGTATTATTCATTCACACAGACGTCGTATTATTAATGTTTTTTATCAAATGTCAAGTCGAATTCATTGAAGTTCAGAACTCTGAGTTACGCCGAGTATTATTTCCAGTCACACGAATGAAAAATAAAACAAAGTTAGTGATTTAAAAACAGTTAACAATTCTTAATCATATGTTTAATTATCATTTATATTTATAAGAAAAGGTAGATAAGTACTCCGTTAGTATTTACTAGACCTTCTTTCGCATTTTTGAAACACTTGAAAATATAAATGATGTTCAAATACATGAGGGAATGTTACAAAGTAAATGCGTGCGGGAGCACGTATGCTGTGTGTGTGCGTGAGGAGGACAGTGGACGATCGTCCTGCTCGTCCACGACGGGTCAGTTGCTAAGGTGGAATCGAAGAAATAGCACGCATTAAAGCCGTCGGATCACCTATTATACTTTCATTAAATATTATTCTTCATTTAAGTAGTTAGTTAACCGTCTTTTCGGCACCTCTCCCTACCACATCCTACATACATGCAAAATCACACAATACGTTTGATGAAAGTACACATTTCTTGTTCATCACCCAGTAAAAATTTCTCAAAGTAAAGAAACGATCATGCGCCAAGAGTTAATATATTCTTATGTATAACAAACTGCTTTATCGTCAATCGTTCAACCGTTCACTGGTTTTTCTTTAATTAATATCGGTTTAAAGTGTACGAGTCTGAAGAAATGTGGAAAACTTATGAAATCCTAGCGACAATGATTCTCTTCCTGAATATTGTGTATAAAAAGGCGGTACAAATGCGTATAAATAATGGTATTATCAAAGCTTTGAGGGAAGCACATCACCAATCTGTGAGCATCTTTCAACATTGCCAATTAAGATAATTTCTACAGACAATTGTTGTAAATTATTTAAATTAATATAGTATAATTATAAATGCAATTTATAGTGGTCTTCAATTTAAATAAAAAATACTATAATGAAAGTCATTGGCCTTTTTTTGTTGTACTACACACTTACTACTTAATTATTTATATGTTTTAACCCAACGCTGATAAACTCTTGTTATACATCGATAAAAATTGAGTAATTTAAAATATAAATAAATACACCACACGATGTGTTGTGTCTTCATGTTACTTCGGTCAGATTAAATTCAATTGATTGTTCAAAGTCGTATTCCTTCCCTTCGAACCACTCTAGGACACGATTTCTATTTTTACACAATGGAAGCTTTTTTCTCTGAGAGAAATGGAAGAGATGTAGTCGAACAATATGCCGCAGTTAAGTAGATATAGGGCCAGTGACCTTTATGAATTGATTTTAACCTGACAATAGTATCTTTGTTTAACATAATAGAATTGAATGTTAGTAAAAAGATTTTTAAACATAGAAAGAGGATAATTTATGCAAATTTAAAAACTACAGTTTCCATTCTACAAGCAATTTTTCATTTAAGTATCTTCAATATTTACTTTCATATTTAAATTAATTAAATTAATTAATATAATCTTAACTATCGAATCAGGGAAACGATTAAGTGTCAACACTCAGACTAGTTTCTAAATAGTATTATTAAATAAACGTTCGACTTATAAGATTCGAAGACGTTTAACGCGTAAAATATTCAGCCTCTCGGAAGGAACAATTTTTCTAATCTATAAGTATTTAACTTTCATCGGTATTAATTTACACGGGAAAATTTTATTTTCTCAATCTGTGCCTCTTTCCATTCACGGTGTTGTTATAATAATTATAATAATATAATTGATAACTGGAAGAATAGAACATTTCGAAAGTCTAAAAAATGGAAGTACGAACTTTTACATCGATCCACTCGCAAGCAAACGAGATTCCGTAGTGGTACAAACATCGTAGACAAATTAATAACTAGTTTAACGATGAAATTGGCCACTTTCTGTAATTTATGCCCCAACATTCACCCGTGAATCTTGATTTTAGAAAGAAAATTTCCCAGTAAAAATATGGATGCCGAAATATTATGGTTAACAGTACGAGTAAACGTAGCATGGGAGCATGATCCCTGTTTAGTAGTCCCAGAGGATAATTTTACCTGTCAACGGGTTATGATTAATTTTCTATCGCGAATCCTCGCTGCATCGAAACCGAGTACTACGCGCCGAGTTCTTGAGGCTCGGTGCAATCGGTGGGCTTCACCTCGAGCCACCAGTCGTTAGGGTAGTGATACTTCTGCAGTTCGATACCCTCTCTGGGTACAGGCATTAATCGACCGCCAAATTGTTTCGCTGGTAACGGAGGAATCACCAATTGCGGTGGGAAGCATTGCAAACTAGGGGAGAACTCGCAATCCGGAGGCAGTACTCTTCTTGTCCAACCCACTCTCCTCACCATTTGCGTCTAGAAAAAGAAAGGAATAATAAAAACATTAACGGGGTATTCTTATCTAGAATTTAAAAAAATCAATTTTTTTTTATTACACTTTCTTAAAATATACGTATGTTGTTGAAAATATACAGTGTTGGGCCACCCTTGGAAAAAATTTTAATGGGAGATTCTAGAGGCCAAAATAAGACGAAAATCAAGAATACCAATTTGTTGATCGAGGCTTCGTTAAAAAGTTATTAACGTTTAAAGTTCAGCCTGCAGAACGGCAATCTGCGAACAGCTGCGTACGCGTGATAGTCATTCTCACTCAGAAAACTGTAAGGCTGTCGATACGTCACCAACAGAGTTTCTCATGCTCAGTGAGAACCACTATCGCGCGCACGCAGCTGTACGCAGATTACCTATCTACAGGCGCAACTTTAAAAGTTAATAACTTTTTAACGAAGCCTCAATCAACAAATTGGTATTCTTGATTTTCATCTTATTTTGGCCTATAGAATCCCCCATTAAAATTTTTCCCAGGGGTGGCCGAACACCCTGTGTATGCAACGGAATTTGTTTTAATTCGTACAGAACTTTCAGCGGATGTGTCATTATCGCATAAACCACGGGTTTTTAAAAAATGTTTATCTTTCATACTTTTTAAACGTGTTATAAATTTACAAAAACCAAAAAAACAGTATTTTAACTTCAAAGTGCCGTCATTTTTGTAATCATCAAGATTTTTAATTTCTAATGGTTCACGCCATAGTTATATTCATATAAAACAAGATGCTGTAGCGGCTAGCTCGCACAACAAAAGAAACATTTGGCGTGCAAATGCTAGCATGGTTTACAACAAGCAAAGTCGAAAAGGCCACTTTTGAGAAAGCCGTTTCTTACGCGTTTTATTACCCGGTATGTTTTTCGTCGAAGGTTTCCAACGGCCTCAGTGGCATATTGCACATGTTATAAACCATGGATTTCCGAAGGGCTGCAACGCCAGGTCAAGCGACCCTCGACGGGTGACATCACCAGGCCTGGACCTGGTTGAAATTCCGCTGCATTGCCAAACTTCCGTCGACAAAGTTATCCCCACCGAGTCACATCGCCTTTCCTAAAAAGCGCGTCAAGGGCGCAAGGAGTAGGCGGTGACTTCTGAATTGCAAGATGCTTAATTGGTCAACTTCGACGCATCGGTTGAACCAATTAGGCAACTGCAAAAAGTGTCAAGGGAAAAAGTGATTTTGTACGGAAGTCAGTCTTCGCCACGACGCCCAGTCAACAACACCTTCATAATAAAGAGTACAAGGCGAACTTTGTGATTTCATTGAATACCCATTCATATCCTCACACGCAACCACCTCAATGCCATTTTGTTTATTTGTTTCAGATTAAAGGAATGGTTGGTATCATGCACACCAGGAAGACACTTTTTCTTTACGATACTTTTTTTAACCAGACACAGTTCATGTAATTGTTATTATTTTTTGTTTACAAAAATAATTTGTATACTTTAAATGTTAGTAAATACGTGTGTCACTACGGATACACAATAGGTTTCATAGTTTCTTCTTAAAAAAATCCCGAAGAAAGCTGAAAATATCATATTCTAGACAAGAATACCCTCTTAAGTAGGCAGGCTGATCGAGAAATAAATACTCATTCCAATTTGTTTCACAGTTTAATGAATAGAGAATCATTTTTCGTCTAATAAAATTCGTATTGTTCGCCGCTTTATTGCCAGAAGTCGTGCCAAGGAGCAACTTTCCGTGCCCCGATTATGACGTACGTAAAACACGCGTCGTAAATCGCACGAAATATTCGCGACTACTCGCCGAATTTATAACACGTAACGGATGATGCTGCGACGTTAAATTTACGAGCTTTATAGTCCCGCGAAACGTTACAGCATCGCTATTCTTGCAGAAACAAGTCGTTTGCAAATAATACAGCACGTAGCAGTCGTTAAGCAATTTCATGTGTTCGCACGTTTCGAGAATAACTATTATGTTCCACTTTCAAGAACGTTCAGTTTGTATAAAACGTGTATATAATACTGTACAGGAATAGCTTCTGTTAAAAATATGTTGTAACTATTGAATATATTATGGAACAAAGAAAGTTAGATTTTTCTGCCTCTACTTTTTTAGACATCACTTTAACTCGGTTTTAAGAAATTAAATTGTGCATCTGCCGCCAGAGGGCTACACTCTCAACGGTTCTCTCGCAAGTACTCAATCGACCATCTATTCTTACCTATACACTCCTCGATTGACTATTAAATGTCCTAGTATCTAAGCTTCCACTAATAGTAAGCGACCACAATACTTAACCTGTGTTATTAAGTGCTATTATTACTGTTATAAAATATTACTTCATCAATTTGCATCAAATATTCTAAATAGAGAACAGAGAATAGTATGATGGCTCGGTGATAAAGCAGATTTTGAATTTATCCAGAATAGGCAGATCAAAATTCTAAAAATGTCTATGTATATCGGTTTAAATGCCCTAAAAATTGTATATATAAAATTGTAAACAAAGTTAGAATTTTAATTAGATAGATACAAACGTTAAAAGTAAACTTACCACAGCATCTTCCTCGAAAACGACTACCTCCACCTTGGGCGCATCTTCACCGACCTCGTGCTCCTGTATACGGTACACCCCGGCGGCGTGTAAGTACGTGGCACTTAGGCCAACTTCGCGAAACGCTTTCGTGATCAGGACATCGTCGCGTAGCGTGTCCACTAGACAGAGTTCGATCTTACGCGCCCAGGGCAGCGCACGACCGATCCGAACTTGACCCCAAAGTCCACCGAGGCACAGAAAGTGCACGATACCCAATTTGGCCAACACCAGGTGAGCTCTAGAAAGATCACACGAAAGCAAACGAACGCTTCAGCTAGAATTTCATCAATTGAAGTTCTTATAAATATGTAGAAACAATATTGAAGGTTGTTACAAGCAAATTAGAAGATCAGCAACCTAAGTGGTAGATTGCAATTATGTTGAATTTGACATAGGCGTGATTAGCGTGATAAACGTTGGTTATAGACTTTAACACCAAACCTACCGGCACTTCATGTATATCCATTCCTACCATGACCGGTCAAATGATCAGCCTTTTTTTTTCTCTTTTACGAGGTAACATACTTCTAATTTTTGCATTACGTATATAGAAAGTTGTGTTTTGATGTTTCTTCGTAAGATATCCTTCTTTTTTATGTTAGAAAATTATTTTATTTTCATCGGATCGAAGATAAAACGACCTTGAAAACGAATTTTGTTCCAAGTCGATACCCTAGTTAGTTCTAGAGAAAACAACTATTTGAGAAATAGTGCTGGCTAGTAGTTACGCAAACATCCTGTATTTAAATTGTGGCGTCGCCTCCCATGCTCGCCACCAGAGGGGTGGCGCTCTCACAAGCGCTCGACCGACCCCTCCGTTGCTATATATACACTCCTCGAACGACTTCCCAATATCCCAGTCGTCTAAGGCAGGGCCTGCTAGAAAGCCTTACTCGTGAGTCCACTAGCAGGCCCGGATGAAACGCGCCCCTCTCCTTTCCTTTTCTGTCCTCCTACGAAATTCTCCCGAGTTCCTAACCGCAGCGAAACAGCGCCACAAAATTCATTTTCAATTAAATAAATAATTTATAATCCAATTTTATCGCACACCAGTCGTGTGATCAATAGGATTTGCTGAAACTTCATTGAGTAGGTAGCGTCAAAGTAAATGTGAGAATAAACATAGAAGACAGGAAAAATTATAGTAGGTGATATTATCATTAGATAGAGGATGAAATGCTCTTTAAAACGAGCGTTCGGGGTAGTCAATAGCTTTATTAGTTCCGAAGATATAGCGATTTTAGCTTCAAGTCGATGCGGTGGCTAGTCTCAGAGATACATATGTATAAGGGTACGAGGGTTTGTTACGTTCATTGAGATCAATGAACTCACGCGCGTGAAAATAGTAAACAGCGCGTAGTAAATTCTTGGAAATACTACGCCGAAACTGGGTCACGACATTCGCGTACGCGAGGTAGATCAGCACCACGCACGTGCGACAAGGAGGTCCGACTCCGCTAGACGAAGACAGAGATAGTCGAATTAAAAAAATTACCTTTTACGTAAATTACGAATCTCCGAAACGGTAAGTCGGATCGACAAAAATCAAAAACCATTTTAAAGGGGAGGCTTAGCCGCTTCTAACAATGCCTCAATAGTTAATAAAATACTTATAGTTTTGGAACTGCACCCGTCTAAAGTTTAACTATTTTTAATACGCGTTTTAGTCTGTTCTAAAACAGTGGATACTGAATATTCTCTCCTTTCGTCTTTGCTATACATATATTTACTATTTACATCAGAAGAAAAATGATTGTAATTGAGCCTCGCAACTAAAACTAATTTTTCAGAACGATTTGAAATTTTTTTGTTCATCGAAAAATTTAGGAACCTACGCCCCTTGTCAATTTTTCTTAAAAATTTGTTTTTCATTTTTAATAAATTTGTTTGAAGCTCTACGGAAATGTTGTGCAATACTTTTTTGTAGGTACTCCATAAGCTCTACTTCCCTCCAAAATTTCATTGAAATATATTTACTATTGTAAGAGTTATGGTCGTTTGGCAATTGGACAATTTTTATGTAGTTTTTCTCACTTTACGGGGCCAAGGAACAACTTTTTCAATATTGTTAAAATGTCTACATATACTTCATTAAAATACGCGTTATTTGCCTTTTCAAACATTAAAATCCTTCAATCTGTTCAGAAGTTATGACGTTTGAAAGATACGCACAAAATATTGCAGTGACATTTCTGGCCTGACATTATATTTTCAGTAAGGAATTTTTTTTCTCGAATATGGTTAGGATTTCGAGGGTATGTCTATTGACAAAAAATGATTGTAATTGATCCCTGCAATCGAAAATAATTTTTCCAGACTGATTTGAGACTTTTCAATTTCGCCGAAAAATTTAGGCACCTACCCTCTGTCGATTTTTTTTTTAAATTCGTTTTTGATTTTTAGTAATTTTGTTTGATGCCTTATAGAAAAATTGTGTAATACTTTTTTGTAGGTAACCATGAGCTCTATTTCAGAAATAAAGTTCAATGAAATACATTCACTATTGTAGGAGTTATGGTCGTTTGAGAATTGTGTTTTTTAATCCCTTCCATAGTCAACTCACATGTATTTACCCACAGTTTACAGCTGCCTGCCCATCAATACTAATTCAGTGAATAGTTTCTCAATTGACCGCCATCCATGAGAAGAGACCGCTAAAATCACCTCCGAATTTTCAGGTCGGTATGGCAGTCAGATTGGGCCGCGAAAGCCCATAAGGTGAAAGCACAGACCAGGTATACGAGTAGACCTTTCACCACAGACGAGGTATATGAATAGACCTTTCACCTCGTCTGTGCTATTACGATAAAGTTATCGACCACAGTGCATTTCGATATGAACTTATCAACAGCCAGTAATTAGGAACTATATGGACCTGTAGGCAAGCTCGTGCAGTTTCTCTGTAAATTCTTCGGGGACGCTGCAGGGTTGCGTAGGCGCCTCTTGCCGACTGAGGCTGTACCAGAACAGCACTACCATGAGGAAGAACGCCGCCAACGCTCGTAGCGGAGTAATATGAAATCGTCTCCGGAGAAATCTCATTCTGGTAACCTTGAACACAAAGGACCGTCGTCGTCAGACCGAACGTCCCATCTCGTTTCGGGAATCATTGGCTTGAACCTAAAGCGCGGAACTCGTTCACCGAAACGAACGTACTGTTCATCCACGAGCAACAGCTGAGCAAACCCTCGAGCGAACGGAGCCACAAGGATCCTCGTACGCAGTGTTACGCATCGTGACGTCTCGTCATTGCGTAATTTCGCGGAACACCAGAAACGAAAGCACCGCGACGCCGCGTGGCCGTGCAATGACGCGTGCAGTCGCGACGCGAGACGGACGCATGACCCACGTGTCCACCAGGTTCGACCCGAATTCACGTTCTCGCGACACCGTTTTTTTTCTCACCCTCGTTGCGCACCACCGTTACCAAGTATTAGCGATTCCACCGTCACTAGCCCCCGTTCCCAGCGCCCTTTTACGCCAATGTCTCATAGAACCGGCAACGTCGCAACCAATCGATGGCTCTACCTTATCGACGGACGTCACTCGATTGGTGGCGCCGCTCCTGGAGTGACCAGACACCATCGCATTCCCTCGCGCCTCGAATTTCGTAAGTAGAGTACGAAAATAAATGCACCGACGTTACGTCCCGTTTTCTTTCATGGGAGAAGAGAAGTTTATCATTTTGATAGCCGATTCACCCTGGAATCTTAGTTAACCGACGTGTGAAAGGGAAAACTCGCCAACGACTTTTGCGGCATTGTGGTTCGCGCGTGACTTCTAGAAATAATTTTTCGCTTTTTTTAAGAGGTTTCGTGTGTATTTGTTATTTCATTAAATTTCTTTCGAAATGGTTTTCGTTTACTTGAGAAGAATAATGCTTTCTGAGAAATTGATCCAATTTTGATCCATTATATGTGTGACAATGTCGGCTCGAATCCTTAATTTGTATAGATTATCTTGTATAAATACTGAGGACATATTTGGACAAGCCTTGATAATATAATTACAATGATTTTTCGTACCAAAAATGATAAAGTTGCAACGTCAGTCGCATCGAGTTTCTGTATAATCTATATAGCTGTATTGGGTCTGTGCAGAAGTTTTGATGGGTTTTTAAATAAATGAAAAGATTATTATTAGTGCTGGTTTCCACGACAGGTAATCCGCCTACCCTTGTATACCTGACGAGGCTTCAAAATCATCGAGTAGGGATAATGGAAAGGGGATTTTGGGACTAAACTGAGATGAAACGTTGCCGTACAAACACAGTTCCAATATCCGTCGTGTTGGTGACACTGCTCTAAATTACTTTCTGGTGCTTCGTAAAATTATTAATCGTGAGTGTAATTGTTCTGAGTATAGAATAAATTTAGGTTCATTAGAAATGTGTTATCGTCTAATCGCTAACATTATATTAATTCATTTAATTAATTTGTATTTTCTGTTTATATTACTGTTTCGTTCTGTTTCTTCAATTTCTAGAATGCAACGTAATTGTAGAAATTGAAGAATTATACATTAAAAAACTTCGTTGCTTCGTTCTGAAAAAAAATAGTTTCAGACTAATTTGATCGTGAAAAGTAAAATTTTCATTAAAAAATTTGAAAAGCTCGATCAATTGGAGAATTACGCTTGCAAGGAATTTAGGGGAATGAAGGAGTATCAGGGACGATATGAGCGCGGTGTATTCGATATAAAAATATTTTTAAATAGAATGTAACTTACGTGGAATGTCAGAGATTCCTGACAAGTCCCTAGAATAGGTGATTCTGTAATTACTCTGGACAGCGTAGAGTTTTTGTATCTCGAAGCTTCTGAGAGTCATTTGGGGTCAAGTATGCCTGAACGCAACAGTGGAGTTAATACGTAACGTTGACGGAAGGATACTTTCGCGTGGAATACCAGCCAGATCAAGCAGAACGAAGGGAAATTTCATTCATAGTCGGGTCGAAATAAGAAGCAGAGGCAGAAGCTATTAAACACGGATGTGCCGAATAGGTGACACGTTACGTGCGCGCAATTCCTGCGCGCGGAAATACCGTTAGAAACATAACCGTCGATTTAATGGGACATTTGCCCCTCTGAAGAGCAAATGCGCTATCCGTCGCAAAGAAGCCATGCATTCTTCTGCGCACAATATGGTCGAGATCTTCCTGGCGCTGTTTTCTATACGTGCTCGTGCAGGAATTAAAATTCTTTTACTTTTAACGATCGTTCTTTAGTATATTATAATGCTTTTAAAATTCTATTTTCATTATTATACCTACTAAGTATTTGCTTAGATTAATCGAAATTTCTTATTAAAGGTCTCATCCCTTCTGTGATAGAAAATTCCAGAAAATAGATTTGAAACAGATTGAATAATTCGTTTATTGTTAACAATATTAGAAACAGTTTAAGGTAAGACTTACTTGATTTGAAAGGGTACACAATATGGTGACAATAATTTTGTAATGGGTGGACATGTAAGGGACACATGAAGGTCAAACCTATTTTCTTAAATGGAATAGTATATTTTCCACTCCAGAATCTCATTGTATATAAGAAAAAGAAGTACCTTTTATTTGAAGAATTCTTTTAAAGAGGCCTAGTTTTTAGCATATCGCTTACACTCACTCTGTTAACAAAGATATTCAAAATGACGTCTTAGAACATAGATACATGACTTAAAACGTACAAACAAAAATACATTTTGTCATTGAGGCATAAATAAGAGTAAATGACTATGTATTGTTCATTAACTACTGAAAATACTGCTCCAAAATAGTATAGATTGCTCTCAATCAATAAGTTCGTGTTTAAAGTACGTATTAATTTAATTTATGATTGAATATAATATACGTCATTGATATACAAATTACAATTTTAAAATAAATTTTGAAAATTAGTCGAAACGTTGCACCGATTATGTATCGATTCACCGACAAATGCAACATGGCTGGCACATAAAGTCTCTGAAACTTTTGTGCAAGAATTAAGTATCAGATGAATTTGATAAATGTAATCGTGTATACTGAAAAGTTTGTACGTGAGTCATGTATGTATGCCATGTATAAGGGATCAAATGGGAAAAGCAAGCACGACGAATTATCCGGTGGTTTTGTTACTCGCGTAACTCATTTAGCGAACACGCAGTCTCTTGTACTCCTCGTTCTCCTTGTACATATTTACTTTTTCCGAGGGAACGGCGTCTCTGAATGAGTTATCGTGGCAAAGCCTCGAGCCCACTCAATTATCTTAATGAGCAGAAACGCCAATAGCGCGCCACGTTTTCGGGGGTACGTCTTTATTTTTAAACCTATTCCCGCGTTGACGAATTTGCGGACGCTAGTCATCCAGCAACGCCCCTGGGAAGGGACTGTCAATAAGAAAAGTTTCGTTTCCAAGATTTTTCGAACCCTTTCCGAAGGTAGTATAACACCAGGGAAATTGGACGACGTTTCTAAAATCGTCTCAAAGTCTATAATTTAAAGAATACTAAATATTATAGGCCCCTAAGAATAACTTATTACAAAAATTACGTGATTTAGCCAAATGAATTTGAGGTGTGGGATCCATTGGTTTAATTTCTTCAATTTCGTTAAAAAGAAAAGGGATCGAATAATATTGCGTTTAAAAATTTGTTTGGGTAAACGCAATCAGTAATCTAAATCTTCCATAAATTTTAATATTGGTCAAACTTATTTTAGTTATTTTGTTCAAAATGGCTTTCACCATGCGTTGCAATGTCTATAAATAAAATTTCGTTTATAAATTTCACGAAATCATTTTAGCAATGGGAAATTATTAAAAATATCCTGTTGGAGTTACTTATATCGAAATAAAAAGAAGTTTCATTTGAGTATATATTAATTGCAGGCCTTTCGAGTACTAGAAGAAATTTGTGCAAAGTCAATAAGTATTAAATTCAATTGTAACACATCACGATGGCCCAATTTTTCTTTAATAAATAAGTTTGCCTTTAATGGAATCGTTATTCGCGGGAACTGCTCGATTCTGCGTTTCTTGCGAGGAATATACGCTCGAGGACGGAACAGATTCCACGTTGCAGGACGATATTATTAATTTACGGGTTCCGGAGAACCCGTAGGAACCTTCTGTTCACTGAATCGGAGCGTTTCACTGTGCCGTAAGTGGACGTGGAAAGAAAAATTGCGGCGAATGTCGTGGAACCGGGCGGGACCGTAAAACAAACGTTTCGACGACGCGCTTTTCTCTCCTTCTAATTTTATCTTGTCGCTTCCCTCCGGAGTAGTCCTTAGGCGTGTATTTTCGTAGCACGTGTCACCTACATATAAACACCTTATCTCCGTAGTTAACGAACACACGAGTACACTTGGCGATCTTTCGAACACGTGTACACGCTTATCCCTCTTGTTTCTATTCTAATGCTTCAATTGCACCCTCTCCCGACATACTACAACGTCTCGAGATTTTAAATAATTTCGCCGTTTATGTTGTCACGAATAATGTTAAAAATTATTCGATAAGAATCGATCGCGTAGCAATCGAACTTAAAATTAAACACCAAGTTGTTCTTCATTTTCATTTTTCATCACTACATCACATTAATTGTGTTTGTACTTCACAAATACAATGTAAAATAGAAAATTATTCTCCAGTAATTGGTTGATAATAATTTATAAATAGAAATGATTTTATATGTGATTGTCTATGGTCTACTTCGTACATATATTTTAATTTTATTATTTTTTATTTAGTACGTTATTTTATTATAATGTAACATTTTCTTAAATTAGTTACTATGCATTCGAATATAATGAAACTTGGAATAGTTTTTTACTTTGACCATATTAAATTATTTTGGCTCACATTATATTTTTACTTTAGTTGTAACAGACAAACAAAGACTCAAACGTATGTATCAATTCCATCTCTCAAGAAAAGTACACCTATACATCTAAAAAATTATAAAATTTGTAGGATGAAATATTTAGATTCGAGGAAGAAACATATCGAACATAACTGTTATCCCCTACGGCCATTTTTTTCAATCATCAAAGTATTTTTAAATCATATATATTAAAACTATGTAGTTACAGTAAGACAGTAGAATCTCCATTATAATTTCTATTAAGGCAACTTTTTGCTCATCTGAATTCAATCCATATTTTAGAGGAAATAAATTTTTGAATTTTACTGAAAATAATTGTTACTACCTGTGTCGCTAAAAAGTTGGCGAACCCTGTTTAAAAGTATTTATTAAAAATGACAAGAAAACATAGGAGGGTCTAAAATACGATGTAAAATTGTGAATCACGAACGAGAAAGATAAAACAATGATGAGAAATAAAGTATGCAGTCGAAATATATCGTAAAAGAATGACACAAAACTTGTTCTAGTCCGATTGCTTTATAGCTTTATATGAAATCGACGAACTTTAATGGCCCTCATTCCTGTCAGTCA